TGGGACCCCAGACCTGGGCGGGGAGGGGTCAGGGCAGAGGGATGGGGGTGTGAGGGTGCAGGGCAGAAGGCTGTGTATGGGGAGGTTCAGGGGTCAGGGCAGAGGGCAGTGGAGGTGTGGGGAGGTTCAGGGGTCAGGGCAGAGGGCTAGGGTGCTCGGCTTGTGGAGGTGCTCCCAGCCCCCTGCCCTGAGCGGCTCATGGCAGGGGACTGGAAGGGATATGCCTGTTCCACCCCCTTCCCCCAGGCCCCATCCCTACCTCTCCTCTGCCTCCTCTACAGAGCAGCAAGCACACTGCCACTTCTCCCCCTCCCCCTCGCAAGGGCCATCAGCTGATCAGCGCAGGGAAGGGGAGGAGGAGAGGCAGGAAAGCAGCAAGTTGTGGGAAGAAGCGGGGAAGGGGGGAAGCTTGGCTGCTGCAGGACCAAGCTTCTGCCTCCTGCCCCCCCCCCCAGGGGAGAGCGGTGGGGCTGAGTGGGACTGGGGGCTGGGACCGCAGCAGGCAGCAGCATGCCACTCAAAATCGGCTTGCGTGCCATCTTTGGCACGCATGCCATAGCTTGCCAACCCCGATCTAGTCTGACCTCCTGTAAAACACAGGACATAGAACTTCTCCAAAATAATTCCTAGAGTAAACAGTTTAATCTGCAGCAAGGGAGATTTAGGTTAGCTATTAGGAAAAACTTTCTAACTATATCGATAGTTAAGCAATGAATAGACTTGCCAAGGAGATTGTGGAATTCCCATCACTGATGGTTTTTAAGAACGGGTTAGACAAACACATGTCAGGGATGGTCTAGGCATACTTGGTCCTGCCTCAGTGCAGATGGCTGGACTATATGACCTCTTGAGGTTCCTTACAGCCCTCTATTTCTACAATTCTATTAAGGGAAATATCTTAGTAACATTTAAAAAAATGGATTAGACATTTAGATGGATAATAAGAGTATATCTACAATTACATAAGAAAAGATAAAAACCTATAAGGGATATAAACCCTCATGCTTCAGGACATAAACTAATCAATAACTGCTTGTGGTTATAAAACAACGTTCTTTATGTTCATGTTAGTGAATGATTGTACATTCCAGGGTATATTCAAGGGTTTTTACACCTTCCTCTGAAGTATCTATTGTTCCCTCAGAGACAGGATACTAGACCAAAGGGGTGTGTGTGTGTGTGTGTGTGTGTGTGATCGATCTCATACTCTATCGCTTTTCCTGCATGCTTAGCAACCATGTCAATGGTGTTAAAACACCACTTCCTGAGACAGTAAAAACGTGGTTCTGCCTTGTAGATAGGACCTAATAATGTTTGAACCATGCTACTAGCCCGCTTCTGTCCACGCAACTTTCAGGGAATAGTTTGAAAATAGTTTGGTCCCATCTACATTAAAAGAAAGAACCATGTTTTAAATATATCTGGGAGGAAGTTTATTGTAACCAGATCCCTTGTCATGGTTATTATAGTGCATGCAATTCCTAGTGCTGGTTACAAGCTCTATACTTGATTAGGAGCTGCCTATGTCTGGAATTATTTTTACTGTTTGCATTAATCAGTTATGATAGAATATGATTTCTATTTATAAATCAGTGCTTAGCTACCATAGTGATAGGCACTATATATAAAAAAAACTTAGCAAGATCTGGAGCAATCTAATTGGTTTTGTTGTTTAATCTGCTCTCTCCCATAGCTGATATGTGGGCTCTCTGCTCCCGTGTGTTCAGCATGACCTGCTCATGGGTCAAGTTGCTTGTTATTCATGCTCTTTCTCTATCTCCCAGTGCAATTTACTGATTTGTCCATGGGCCTAATTTTCACTCCCTTGCAACTTGCAGTCATTTGCACCTGTGCAAACTGCTACCAAATCAGAAGGGTGACATTCTACACCTACTGTGCCAAAGCTGCCAAGTCTTGCACCGTCTTTTTACAAGTCTAATATTTGGAGTTATTCTATAAGCCACTGTCATAACTATAAAGGGGAGGGTAACAGCTCTCCTGTGTACAGTACTATAAAATCCCTCCTGGCCAGCGACTCCAAAATCCTTTTCCCTGTAAAGGGTTAAGAAGCTCAGGTAACCTGGCTGGCATCTGACCCAAAGGACCAATAAGGGGACAAGATACTTTCAAATCTTGGGAGGGGGGGGAA